AAGTGTTTCCTGATCTTCAGTGAGGCTGGCTTAAAAAAAGTAATCATAGGGCTGGGGATTTAGCTCAGTGGTTTTGTCGCCTGTCTCGCAAGCACAAGGACCCGAGTTCGATCCCCGGTACAAAAAAAAAAAAAAAAAAAAAAATCATAAACTCTGGTATTGAGGTATGCAATAAAGAGGAAGGTGCTGATGGAAAAACCAGGAACACAGAATCTCAAGGTTTGGGCCTACATCATCGACTTTGTCTTTCAAGCCATTAGATGGCAGTAAAATCAGGGTCAAGACTAGCACTGGGAGAACATAGAAAGTATCAGTGCATCACAAGTAATTTTTTAATAAAACACACTTCATTGATACAGAGGCCTGTATGTGTATACCTTAATAGGAATCACAGTTGAAGTTTGAAGCTGAGTATGGCAGGGCACCTATAATTGTAGCACTTGGGAAGCTGAGGCAGGAAGATCACAAGTTTGAGGCCAGCCTGGGTTATACAGCTAGCTAGTTTAAGGCCAGCCAGTACTACACAGGGAGCCCCTGTCTCAAAACAAAACCAAACCAAAAAAACTCCAAATTTGAGGTCCAACTACCTGATATTTAAGTCAATCTGATATCTATATTTTTAATATTAGTTTCTGTCAAGACATTCCAGGAACAGTGCCCGCTTTACTTTTGATCATTTTGCTAAGAAAGTTATCAAAATGAGACAATAAATAAAATATGACGCTAAAGAGATATAACTCTTTCAATGTTAAAAATAACTACAAATGTTTTGTTTCAACCTTTTGGGTTAAATTTTTTTTAAATTAAGCATGTCAGAAGTATTTTCTTTCATGTGTTTTTCTCACATTAGAAATAGTCTTGCTCAGTAGCTCTTCAAGTTCATCACTTTGAAGATAGCCTTTCATAAGTTAACTATCGTCATTATCTTTAATAATATATGTGAGTACTAACAGACCAAATGAGTCGGGCAGCTTTAAGGTCTGTAAATAGCACTGAAAACATTAACTTAATCATAGTGCCCACAGCACTCTAAATAGTACGTGGTCACGTACACCAAATTAGTTATGATCTGTTGGGTTTTTTTTGTTTTTTTTTTGAGAAAGGGTCTCACTACATAGTTGAGACTGACCCGGAACTCACTATGTAGCCCAGGCTGGTCTTGAACTCACAGCGATCCTCCTGCCTCAGCCTCCCGAGAGTTGGGATTACAGGCAAATTAGTTATGATCTTAAAGAAGCAAAGTCCAAATCAATACCTCTTTTTAACCCCTTTAAAATTAGACAATAAACGTGATCCATACTTTTATATCCATCCACACACCCCCCGCCCCCGTACTGGGGATCGAACTCGGGACCATGTGCTTGCAAGGCAGGCGTGGTACCACTGAGCTAAATCTCTGGCCCCCTAATTTTCAATAGACAAATTATATAAATGGTGGTTACTGGTTTTTCGGAAATAAACTAAAAGAAAATTAGGGTATAACACAAAGTTATCTGAGAAGTATTCAATGTGTGCTGAATGAAATACCCCATCAGGCAGAATTAGAAAAAGATGTGAACCATAATCTTTCCCACACCCTGAATGAATTTTGGTGCAGGATTAATGTCATATAAACTTGTTGCAATTTTGCTGAATGGCCCTCTGTACTAGTCTGAGATACTTGAGGCCAGGAATTCTCCATAGAAACAATCAGCTTCAATGTATTTCCAGAATTCACTGCAGTCAGCAATAATTTATTAATTGATGACTATGCCAAGCTCCCTATAAAGTTCTAGGAATTTATAATAATGCATCATTCTTTTATTTCACTTTAATTTTTTTTTGTGGTATTGGGGATGAAACCATGCTAGGCAAGCACTCTATCACTAAGCCGCACTCCTAACCCCCAGAGTTCTAAATCTGAAATTTCATAGATTTAGAGGGCAGATAAAAAGTTAGTTGTAGCCAGACTGGTGGCACACACCTGTCATATACAGGAGTTCTAGGAGGCTGAGGTAGGAGGATTCCAAGTTATAAGCACAGCTTGAGCAACTTAGTGAGACCTCATCTCAAAAGTGAAAAAAGGGCTGGGGATATAGCTCAGTAAGAAGCCTCTGGATTCAATCCCTAGTACTACATAAAAACAAAGCTAAACAAAATTACAGTTATATTAATATGGAACAGTAGAAGGGATGGTGATCATCGGATCGTCTAGAACCTAGAAGTAACTCATGTCCAAACTGTTTGGGATGATGACTTAAATGGGTGAGAAAATGCCAGGAACAGAGGCACACAGCTACAATACCAATTACTAGGGAGACTGTGGCAAGAGGATTACAAGTTTCACAGCCTGAATTACTTTGGACCCTATCTGAAAACTTAAAAAAGAGCTGGGACATAGCTCAGTGATTTGAGCATCCTCAAATTTAATTCTCAGTATGGCAGGTGGGGGAGGATGATTCCCCAATGGGCAAATGTATATGATCTATCAAAGAGGAAAGGTACCAGGACATATAGTGGATAGATGGGTTGGTACCTAATCATGAAGAGGCTTTGGTGCTGTTAAAATGTTTAAATTGTATCTGGAATACACAAGAAAATCAGTACAGCAGGGCATGGTGGCGCACGCCTGTAATCCCAGCACTCGGGAGGCTGAGGCAGGAGGATCGCTGTGAGTTCGAGACGAGTGTGGGCTACATAGTGAGTTCCAGGTCAGTCTCAACTACATAGCGAGACACTGTCTCAAAAAAACAAAATATAAAAAAATAAAATAAACAAGAAAATCAGTACAGATTTTAGGAAGAGAAATGATATGATTAGACTGGTCTTGAGTAGAGTAAATAATGGAGACTAGTAGGCATCAGTTTAGTGTGAACAAGGTGCAAGGCATGGCCAATGAATGTGTATTGAAGTGTACATCACTGCACAGCAGGTACTGGGCAAACAGTTCTTTTTAAAAAGGGCTCGCAGTCAGCATGTTATAGAAGATACCAAAAGATGAAAGGTGAGAGTATAGGGCAGCGGTCTTGTACCTGTGGCATTCATGCAACAGAGAGCCGTTTATTATTGTTTTTCCCCATTAAGTTTATTGGCACATTTAAAGCAAACAAAAGTTACATTTATCATTGGGATCTTCTACCTTTACATGATGTTTATTATTGCTGAAAGCTCTATCACGATTATTGGTTTAGGGGAATTACAGGGATGTCAAGGGAAGATTAAGAAAATGGCACTGAAGTTTAGACCTGAGGGAAAAAATAGGATTTCAGAAATTTAAACTGATTTGAAGTACTTAGGGTATTTATAAGTAAGCATATAAGCCCTCCATACTTCTAAAAAAATCCACTTCTTTTGCCCTTATTTATTGATTCTAAAGTATATAAAATGGTTATTAAATTTAAAAACTTGCAAGGAGGCTAGGATTAAGTGTCTCTCTTCCATGTCATATAATACTTTGCATAGTTTCACTTAATAACTACTTGAAAATTAGGACCAAATAATTGCGCAGGAATTTAGGAACTCTAGGAGATAGACAACAAAAGGGGGAGGGGAGATATAGACAGAATAATTAAACTGGCAAATGACTTAGAAAAACCAAATTAGTCTCAGCATTGTCCAGCTAACATTAATCATTTAGAAGTTTCTAGTAATCTATTTGTAGTTTCAGTGAGAAAATCCCAGAGGTCAAAAATAAGACTGGATTGAGAACTTCCTATTAGACTTGGATGTGGGAGGATTTTGTTTATTCTTGTTTTTATTGATGAAGGGGTGAGTGCAGTGTTTTATAGGATTAGTATGAAGGATGTTACAGGAGACAGTAATATATATGCATACATACATCAGTAAATTGTATCTCTTCTAGATCCCTGTACATATGTAACAGAGCTAATGTTAATACATCTATCTTTGCTTACCCATAGAAATTTCAGATGCATACAAACTCTAAACATTTACATTGGAGTAAACCTGCAAGGTATGAACAAGTCATTTCTGCTAATTTCTTCAGCCTCTGATTAAAGATCAGGATTGAATTAGTTTTCTAAAAAATCAGAGACATGTAAAATATTTTCTTGTTTAGTATATTGTCATGGGCATATGAGTTTCTGCATTCTAATTTGGAATGCCATTGATAGCTACGAGAAAAACAAGCACCAATATGTTCTTTAGATCCTACAGATTGCTTTTGTAGTATACTTTCTGGCCAAACTCCTTTTTACCATTTATTTTCTCTGTGCTGATTACTATGCTGTGCCAAATCAAGCTCTTCTTCACTGTTGCCAGTTCATAACCTCCCCTAAGACATAACAAGTCAGTGCTTTTTTCACTTCTCTGCTCTACTCTGCTGGGATCGATATAAAATTCCAGTTTAAAAAATCTTAACAAATAAAATGATGTGTCAGAGATCACAGGATAAGACCTCTCTGGGATAGGTAATAGTGCAAATTTTTAAAAAGTGGTCTCTTTTGTAAGCTGGTTTCACAGTTTTCAGGTACTTGGAAGAGACACACTGAAAATAATGCTTACCAATGTTTATCAGTCTCTACTATAACAAATGAAGGACTGCAAACTCAGAAGTTTCCGTTTGGTGCCGTTTTGCTACTCAGTCTTGCAAACATAATTCAAAAGTTCTAAGAACTTAAAAGTCATATCTTCAAACTTTTATCTACACCAGAAGTCCTGATGGCTTAAAGGTCACACCTTTAAATTTATTTATACTAGATATTCCTAGATATAACAGGGATTTGAAAAATACTTTATAACTATTCTACGTGTAACACCTGCCCATCAGATTTTAGTATTCAGGCTTTTTGGCAAATCAATTGCCTGAGATTGATAATGTTCACAAATGCAAGATTCTTCTTAAACTTGTCTCCCATCTAATGAGTGTCATTTTAACCAGTAACCCACTAGAGAACTCAGGATCTCTACATAAACCGAAAACTGGTAGTCGTGGCGTATACAATTTCATTGCAGTCAGCCTAGTCAAAGCACTCTCCTCTCTTGAATACTTTTTGCCTTACCTGGTCTGACAAAAACTGTACCGACCAACCCTGGCAAAGATAGCAGGGACTCTTGCCAACTGTCTGCGGCCGCAATGGTTGGGGTAGGTGCGGCGCTGGCGGTAGGAGTGCATGAACCAGGCACAGCCCTCTAGGTACCATATGCTGTCCCTGGCCTTGGTCTGGTCCGGGAAACAGGCAATGAGGGCACCGGACCCTCAGCAGGCCCCGATCTTCGGCGACATGCTGAAAGGACCGAGCTCTTTTTCCTTGGGGCCGATCCAAATTCCGCGGGGTCTGAGTAGCTCGGGCCTACTCGCTGTACCAAGGAAGGTCAAGCTCACCTTGGTGAAGTCCGCGAGCCCAGACAGCAACTAGTACCAGAAGAGGCAAGCCCAGCAAAATGCTCCCGGGTCAGGGGAGGACAGCCCGGCTAGACGCAGCTGAAGGCGGAGCCGCCCCTTTTCCGGCGCTCCGCAGGTTTCCGGACCTGCGCAGAAGCCTCTCCGCGCAGCCCCAGGATCCCAGCGCGCCCCTCCCCCCAGCGGCCGTTTCCCGACATGCTCTTCGGAGGAAGAGACGGAGTCGACAATAACAAACCCAGCCGCGGTCGCATCCGCGGCCCTGCGGAGCCCTCGGGGCTGCTTCGGTGTACAACAGTCGCCCGGGCCCCTCGGCTCTGACCGGCCGCGGCTTTCTTCCTCCCGGCCTCTTATCAAGAGCCGAGGGGCCTGACCCGTCCTCCGCCCCGACTCCCGCTTTCTGCCAGGAGTTCGGGGCCGCA